CCTGACTTCCCTTCATGATGGACTGTAAGCTGTAAGATGAAGTAAAACCTTTCCCAAATTGCTTTTGGTCATGATGCTTATCACAGCAATAGGAAAAAAAAATAAACACAAGACAATTACTCATACCACATTCCAACTGGAAGGCAGCCATCAGCATCCAAGGTAGACCAACAGGGCTTTTAGAGGGGAACCTTTTCACTACCAATAGGAAAAGACTTACTACACAAAACTCAGCTCCTACCATGAGATATTGGTAATTTTGGTTGTGTTAAGATTAGAGTCTTCTGTTTGTTCAAAATCACTACTAAAGGACTGACAAAATGATGCACAGAGAGTCACTATGCACAGTGCAAGTAAGTACCTGACACAAAACTCATAGACAATGTATTTTTAGACACTCCTACCAATCACTAAAAATAATCAAACTACATGAAAAGAGACAAAGATTTGCATATTTTATAAAAGAAGAAATAAAAAATAAAAACGTGTTTAATCCCATTAGCCATCGGAGAAAATAAAAATCCTAAGCATATGCTTAAAATTTTTTTTGTGTGTGTTTTTTGAGGCCAGATGTCATGTAGCCCAGGCTGGCCTTGAACTTGCTATATATCCAAGGATGATCTTGAACTCCTAATTTTCCTGCTTTAACCTGACCTCTCAAATACTAAGATTACCACTATATGCCACTACATCTAGTTTTTTGTTTTTTTTTGAATGTGGTGTTGAGGAGCAAATCTAGGCCTTCATGCATGTGAGAAAAGTACTCTGCCAAATGAGCTACATTCCCAGCCCTTATATTAAAATAAACAATAAGAGGGTCTGGAGAGATGGCTCAACAGTTAAGAGCACGTAATGCTCTTTCGAAGAACCTAGGTTTGGTTCCTAGCACCCACATGTAGCTCACAACCTCCCATAATTCTAGTCCCAGGGGATCCAACATCTCCTTCTGATATTCATTGGCACCAGGCATGTATGTTGTGTACCTATATGTATGAAGGCAAAATACTCATAAAAATAAAAAAAACTAAAATAAAATAAACAAAAGAGAATAGCTAAAATGTAAAAGGAAAGTAATAAGTGTTGGTGAGATTATGAGCCACTACAGCTCTTGTAATTTACTGTTTGAAATGTAAATTAGAAAGCATTTAGGAGTATGTACCGAAGTTAAATTTATGTGTAAGTATTCACATCTGTTAGTGTGTGTGTGTGTGTGTGTGTGTGTGTGTGTGTGTGTGTGTGTGTGTGTGTGTGTTTATGGGAACTGAGCCCATGGCGACACATATGATAAGCACATGCTGTATGACTAAGCTACACACTCAGCCTCATACACGTGTCTCAAACTCAGCATTGCTAGCAGAAATGAAAAAGACATGTACTACATACACATGTGCACAGCAAAGAAAACCATTATAATCAGTAACCGGAAACCACACAAATTCCCATAACCAGCAGGATCAGCCAGCCATAGTGTGGATTTATAAGCAAGAACCTCACATGCATAAAAGAGCGAGAGAAGCACTCACAGAGGAGCAGATACTGTGTGGTTCTCTTTTCCACAGTGTAAATTCAGGCAAGAGTGATCTATCCTGTCAAATCCAGGACTGTGGTTATGCTGAGGGGCATGCTGTGACTGGCAGAGGGAATTATGGGCTTCAGGAGACTGGCAGTATCGTGTCTTAATCTGGGTGCTAGTGACTTGGCATGTTAGGTTTGTGGAAGTTCACTGAGCTATGTAATGATAGAATGTGTACCATTCTATATGTATATTTCACTTCAAAAGTTAAGAGTAATGAAAACATGACAAAGGACCCAAGGGACAAAAGGAAGTCCATTCTGACTGCTTCAACAACACAGCAAGCTACCAAAAACTTCAAGTTGGTAAACTATGAATTCAAATAGATGTTTTGCAACATTTTTTTCTTTTTAAGATTCATTTTTTACTTTCTGTGTATGAATGATTTGCCTGCATGCATGTGTGTGCAACATGTGCATGCCTGGTGCCTGCAGAGGCCAGAAGAAGGCATCAGATCCACGGGAACTAAAGTTGCAGGCAGTTGTGAGTTCCAGCACCAAGTGGGTGCTGGAAATGGAACTCAGGTCCTTTGAAAGAGCAGTGAGTGCTGTTAACTGAGCTATCTCTACAGCCCATTAAAGAGATTTTTTTTTTTTGGAGTTGAGGATCAAACCCAGGGCTTTGTGCTTGCTATGCAAGCGCTCTACCACTGAGCTATATCCCCAACAAGATTTTTAATGAAATGTAAAAACTGTTTGAATTGAAAAAAAGGAAAATAGCAAAAATAAAGAAAAATTTGAAATGACATCATTCCTGAACAAGTTACTAAAGTCAAAACACTCAATAAAGAAAGACAAGATAGTCCCAGAAATCCAGATGAAAGAGACAAAAAAAAAAAACCCCAAAACTCTAGAGCAAGTGTAAAGAGATGAATACATTAATACATTTGGAAAATGCACACAGGTGTCCAGCATAAAAGTGCAGGGCAGAACAACAGACCTCTCATCAATGAGCCTGTTCAAGCCCCACACGTGAATATGTCAGGGCACATGCAAAGAGCAGTTAAGGTGTGAACAGAATTAAAGTTGGTAATAGAAAGTATTAAGATAGAGATATTGTCCCAGATAGTCTAGGTGGACGAAAAGGTTATCACCATGTACTTTGAAGTGAAAAAATGAGGCAGGATAATTCAAGTCAGCACCAAGGGAAATGAGAAAGACTCAGCAGGCTACCGAGAAAGGGGCTCAGAGCCCTGGGGCACAGGAAGGTTCTAGAAGTTATGAAAGAAGATTCTCTCCTAGAGCTCCATGTAGAACAATGTCCTACTTACGCCTTACCTTTAGCTCAGCCAAACTGTGTAGATTACAGGCCCCAGAAACTGTGAGAGAATAAACTTCTCTTGTTTTAAGCCAGCTTGTAGTCATTTTTTATAAGAAGCAACATACAAGAAACTAATACAAAACCAATAAAAGATATTTTATGGACATAAAGCAAATTCCTCTGAAATTAAGAAAATATTTTTTTTTGTCTAGGAACTCAGAATATACAATATATCAAAACTTCTGAGTCATGGCTTGGTTAAGCAAGGAACTGTAAGGCAAAGAAAACAGTCTTCATGAATTCCTGAAGAAAAGGCAAATTATCCATCTAGGAAATCAATTGGCTTGAGGCTTTCACCATGACAACATCAAATACTAGAAAGACAGTGAACAAGTTAGCAGGTGTTGAAGGAAAAAGCAGTATCGTCTAAGAACACTGTGTACAGCCAAGGCATCGTCCAAAGACAGACAATGGTGTTCTCAGTGCAGCAGCTCAAGAAAACTTAGTCCCAGATAACTGGTAACAAAAAGCAGCTAGCTAAGAGGTTAAGCAGCACCATAAAGAACTGGGGAGCAGCTATGCTTAAAAGAGTTAGCCAGGGCAGAATCCATGTAAATACTGCACGAACACCAAGCACTCTTTGACATTATAGCTACAATACAGAATCGAGTGTTATGAACCTCTGCAGTATGAGAATTGCAAAGGGGGCTAGAAAACCAGAACATAGGTGGGGAGAGTGGAGTGTGATGCTGCAAACATTCCCCTTCCACTGCCAAAGCACAAGACTCTCACAGTGAAATGTCGTCCTTATGACAAAATAATGACTCTAGCTTCTTAATGTTTGTTTCTCCCTCACTTGTTTACTTTTTTCTCCCCTTCCCTCTTTTTCTCTCTCCCATTCTGTTTTTTTTTTTACAAACCCCCCCCCCAGACAGGGTCTCATATTTTAGCCCATGCTGGCCTCAAATTCGTGGCAGTTGCCCCCACCCCCACCCCCGTTTCTTGAACGCTGGGATTACAGGTGTGAGCCACCATCCTGGCTGTTCTTCCAAATCTTTTCTTAGCCCTAGAAGAAATATGTAGTAAATCAAAAGTTCACAAAGGCTACAACTATGGCATCAGTTCTCTGCAATTTCTCCGACCATGTTGACAATAAAATACAAAGGAAAGCAACAGCAGCTAGTGGGCCTTGCTCACGCCAACCAGGCTGCTCATATGTTATCAACATCTTTCTCACTGCCCACGTCAGTCATCTACTGTAGGACTCACATCCCTTTGGGGCTTGTTAAATGTTTTACTCTTTTCTGCTGCCGAGGCCAGTGCTTCACTGAGCACCCAGACCTGAAGACAGGACTGTGGACACATCCTGCTCTTGGGGTAGTGCTGTCCAACAGAACTTTGCCCCAAAGGTCTAAATCTGTGCTGTCCAGACTGGCAGTTACTGGCCCTGGATCACACAGTTTTAGAGCCCTGCTAACCCATGTGGCATTGCCGGGGAAGCAGCCTGCAAGCCCAGAGACAGACGGTGGCAGGCCTCGGGACAGGGTCTGTACTGGAAAGGTGAGTTGAAGTCCCCACAACGATACGAAAAGGCAGTCGCATTAGTCTTTGCACAGCCGCAGTATGAGAGAGGGGTCTTGTATGTCCTGCCCAGGTTTCTGCCCCGATGTTTCCTTCCTCTGGGGTGCAGGGTCTCAAACCTCAAGCTTCTACTAGGACACACTGCTCATTGCCCTCAAGCCTGCTTTCTGGTCTCATCTGCACCCAGGCTCCTGAACCTCTTAGTTGGACACCTTTCTACACCCTAACCAACTCTACAGGGTCACTGAGGCTCCTCCTCCTAGAAGTCCTGTCCACTAGGACAGGGAGCCCCAGTGCAAGGTGCTTGGAACCCGAGGCTCAAGCCTAGTCTTGCTACTCTATGCTTGCAGTCCCACGCACCAAAAGGTCACGGACCGGGAGCCTGTGGTCTCTCCAGTTCCCTAGTCTGCTGCCCCTCTGCCCACGCCTCCCGCAATCCCACTCACTTCTCCCAAACACACCGCTCGCACCTGCGGTCTCCCTCGACGCCCACCCTGAGCCGCTTTGCGGACTCTGCCCACAGCGCGTAGTCTACCCCAGCATGCGGGACCTAGCCCTACCCAGCCGCTCCATGGGTGAGACCCACTCTGGAGCAGCCGCTCGCACCGAGACCCCAGCGCTGCGCCTCCGGGTGCTGCGGCCGCGCTCCCGCCGCCGCGCTCACCCGCCGGGTGGCCATAAGGAGACTCGGCTGCTCCGTCCTGCAAGCTGGCCAGGATCTCGCCCTTGCCCACGTCGCTGTCGCCCACCAGCAGGAACTTAAGTAGAAAATCGTAGGCCCGCACAGGGCTGCCCAGGGCGCTCATCATGCCGCCCCGGCCACCCCTCCCATGCCGGCCCCAAGCTGAGCACAGGCGGCGGCTGGTCCCTGAGTGCCGGCGGGCAACGCAAACGCTTCTCCGGCCAGGGGCGCTTGACAGTCGCAGCGCCCGCCTACCCTACCTCGTCATTGGTGAGCCTCAGTTGCTGAGGTGGATTCGCACGCTCATTGGCTAGTAAGTTCGTCCATCTAGTTCTTAACGCCTCCGCACCTCGCCCACCGCCTCTCTTGGGAGGACTTGTTGCCTCAGCCAATGGAGATCCGGAGGCGGTAATGGGCCGTGCCAGAAGCAACAGGAGGCGGGAGGTCTGCTTCCACAACCAATGGAAGAGAGGCATGGAGAGGAGGGGCGTGGCCAATGTTACTCCTCCCCGTGAGCTAGTGCACAACAGGAGCCGGCTCCAGATTGGTGTGGGAAGCGCCTGGTAACAAGGATTTACCCCGCAGCTCCACAGAGCCTCGAATGCTAGGGTAAGAGCTTAGGTACATGTGCACGTGTCCATGTGGGCATCAGATGGAACTAAAAGTTACAGGCAGTTGTGAGTTCCAGCACCAAGTGGACACGTGGACACTTGCACCTCTAAAGGTGTCTACGCATGGGTGCCTCCAGGTCTCCATGGGTTTCTGTCCGTGCATGTCAGTGTGTCTACTCGTGTGTGCATCATGTGCCTGTGAGGTTGCTGGCAGAGAGCTCCTGGTGGAGACCTGCCTGTCTTTGACTTTCTCTTACCCCCTAGGGAGCAGTAGACCTTTGGACAAAGCCTGCTCTCTGCCCTAGAGCTTCTTACCAGTAGGTACTAAGTTACTTAGAGTAGTTGTAGTTTAGCATTTCTGGTACATCTTCATACAACCTGAAGCAGAAGTGCCTCTTTTTTTTTTTTTTTTTTTTTGGTTTTTCGAGACAGGGTTTCTCTGTGTAGCTTTGCGCCTTTTCCTGGAACTCACTTGGTAGCCCAGACTGGCCTCGAACTCACAGAGATCCGCCTGGCTCTGCCTCCCGAGTGCTGGGATTAAAGGCGTGCGCCACCACCGCCCGGCTGCAGAAGTGCCTCTTACACTCCGCCCTCTGCTTTATTAAGGAGCATATTGTACTGGTGTTTCCATTCAGTTCCCAGGAGCAGGTGGAAAAGAAAAGCGATGGAAGAAAATTATGAAAACGTTTGTGGACACTGTTCTAAGAGGAATGCAGGACCATTAATTATCCTTTCAAAAAGAATTGATCATAATAAGCCCTAGTTACAAAATATGGTTGCCAGTTTAGAATGGGTAATTGAGACAGGGTTTTTTGAGACAGGGTTTCCCTGTGAAGCCTTGGCTGTCCTATAACTTGCTCTGTAGACCAGGTTGGCCTCAAGATCTGCCTGCCTCTGCCTCCTGAGTTCTGGTATTTAAGGCATGCGCTGCCACCACCACCCAGGGCTAGGATGAGTGATCTTGATGAGCCATTTCTGACTCAGAACAAGACTATCTTTGACTCAAGGCCACACTGTTGCTAAATAAACCCTAGCTGCAATTATTTCAAAGCATCATGACATTGCAACATTGTCTGACTATGCACACAGAAAAACCTTCCTAAAGAGCCCGTTCAAGCGCCTGTGCCCAGACAATACGGTTTTCCCCACGGTTTTGTCAGCTGAAGTTGTATCACAGTGTATCAAATAAATTCTACTTTGCCCTCTTCTGTCACAACTCATATCTCACCAGCCTGCCAGTGTCATTCCCGTGAGATGACAGATTTGAGTTCAGATTTTTAGCCAGTGTGATTGATAGCTTGCTTGTAATTCTGTGATTGCTAATCTTGTCAACTTGGTAGGATCCGAAGTCACCTAAGTGAAGGGATGCTAGCCCACTTGAGCATGTGGCAGGCCTTGCCCTTCTACCCCATTCCCTCTGCCTTGCTAAAAACCATTAGATCACGTTCCTAAAGCTATCCCTCAAGGTCTATTCCCTTATTTGACTACTTCCTCCTCCTGAGGCTGACTACCAAAGTTTTTTGGTTCACCAAATTATATGCCCAATTTACCTTTATAAACTGCCATTTACCTATGGACCACGTCTGTCTCCTCTCTATCCAGAGGCAGTCCTTTGTTCCTCCAGGAAAAATACCTCTTCCCCCTTTCCTTTGTCCCCTTCCTCTTCTCCCTTGTTCCCTACCTGCTTTATCACCGCATCCTAGCCCATTCTAACACAGACCTCCTCCCATTCCTCCTCTTAAAAATTAAACCTGCAAGGTCATTTGCTGCTGTTTTCTGCCTGAGTCAGAAAGGAACCACTTTTCTTTCCCACTTAATAAAGGATCTCTCTGTGAAAACAGGTGTTTGGGTATGGTTTGTGCCTAATCTGGGATCCGGGAGGAAGCCCGGGCTGTGTGGGGGTCTCTTTCACTAAGAAGCTACTTCTTGGCATGTCTGTGAGTGTGTTTTCAGAGAGGATTGAAGGGGGAAACACAAAGATTGAGTAGTTGGCATCTTACATAAGGAGATACAGGGAAAAAGCAATGTCACTTGACAGCCTTCATCCCGAGTGGATGTATGTGTTGTTGCCATTGCCATCCTCCACCGCCATCACACTCCAGCTTCAAACGTGAACTGAATACTGGTGGCTCTCTAGGAATCTTCCATTAGGCTGGGACTGCTGAGGCATCTTGCTTCCTGGACTGATTAGCTTCTAGGTTCTCAGTCTCTCCATCACGAAGACTCTATTGTGTAAGTCAATCTAATAAGTCACTTTTTGTTACACACACACACACACACACACACACACACACACACACACACACACACTTTATTGGCTTTGTTTCTTTAGAGAATCCTGCCTAATACAAATCCCAGCACTAAAAAAGGCTGAGGCAAGAGGACTGTGCATTTGAGGCTAGCCTGGGCTACATAGTGCTTTTGAGGCCAACCAGGACTATACAATGTGACCTTGTGTCAACAAAACAAAACCAACCCCTACACTCAAAAGCTTTACCTTTGCCAATTGCATTCATTCAGATTTTATTTTTTATTATTATTTCTAAATTTATGTATATGTATGTGGTGATATATTGTGTATCCCAATAAAGCTTACCTGGGGATCAGAGGACGGAGCCAGCCGCTAAATTAGACATAGAGATCAGGCAGTGGTGGCACACAACTTTAATTCTGTCACTCAAGAGGCAGAGATCTGTCTGGATCTCTGTGAGTTCAAGGCCACACTGGGCTACATGAGAGAAACAGAACCAGGCAGTGGTGACACATGACTAATCCCAGGAAGTAATATGGTAGGACACAGAAAGGTATATAAGTCATGAGGAAACAGGAACGTGCTCTCTTTAGACTGAGGATTTTGTAGAGGTAAGAACTTGTGGCTGGCTGTTCTGCTTCTCTGATCTTTCAGCTTTCACCCCAATATCTGGCTCTGGGTTTTTTATCGTAAGACCTTCTAAGATTCATGTTACATATGTATGTCTGTATGAGTGTACCCTGTCATGTATGCAGGTGCTCACAGAAATCTGAAGGTGTCAGATCTACTAGAGATGGAGTTACAGATGGTTGAGAGCCACCTGATGTGGGTGCTAGGAACTAAACTTGGTTCCTCTGGAAGAGCAGCAAGCACTCTTAACTGATGAACCATGTCTACAGTCCCCAATTAGGATTTCAAAGTATTCACTCTGGATTGCCAGTTTATTTTACAAAACTTACTAGTTACTGACTCATCGGTTGATTGAGGTGCTGTCAAAGTCACTATTTAAAAAAAAAGGAAGAGGTGCTTGATATGTATCTTAGTTAGTAAAGTGCTTGCCTGTGGTGGTGGTTTAAATAAGAATTGCCCCGCATAGGCTCATATATTTGAATGCATAGTCACTAGGGAATAGCACTGTTTGGGAAGGATTAGGAGGTGTGGCCTTGTTGGGGTAGGCGTGTCACTGCGTGTGGGCTTGGAGTTTTCACTCTCCCTCTGCCTGTTTTTGGGTCAGGATATAAAGCTCTCAGCTACTTCTCCAGTGCCATGTGTGCCACCATACTTCCTGTCATGATGATGACGGACTAAGCCTCTGAAACTGTAAGCAAGCCCTCAATTAAATGTTTTCTTTAATAAGAGTTGCCTTGGTTATGGTGTCCCTTGACAGCATTAGAACAATGACTAAAACACCTACCAAGCACAAAGACCTGGGTTTGATCCCCAGCACCAAATAAACTGGACATGGTAGTACTTGCCTGTAATCCTAGCACTGGGGAGGTGGAGGTAGGGAGATCAGAAGTTCAGGGTCATCCTTGGCTACATAGCAAGCTCAAAGCCAGCTTGGACTAACTACATGAGATCATGTCTCAAGACGAAAAACAAAACAGAAAGGTGAAAGGATAGAAAATAGAGAGGGGTACAATTTTATCACTTCTCCAACCCCCCATCTCTAACCCTTAGTTCTCTGCTATAGAATATTATTTTAAGATGTGTTACATATGTTTATGCTCTGAAACATTTGTTTAATGATGCAAAGATGTGTTACATTCTTTTATATTACATTTGTTTAACTCTGAAGCTGTGTTACCTTGCCTGCCTAAAACACCTGATGGTCTAATAAAAAGCTGAACAGCCAATGGCAAGGCAGGAAAGAAAAATAGGTGGGGCTGGTGGGCAGAGAGAATAAAGAGGAGGAGAAATCTGGGAGAAGGAGCAAGAGAAGGAAGAGGACGTAAGGAGCCAGCCATCCAGCTACACAACCAGCAATGGAGTAAGAAAGAAAAGTTTACAGAAATAGAAAAAGGTGAAAACCCAAAGGCAAAAGGTAGATGGGATAATATAAAGTTAAGAAAAGCTGGCTAGAAACTAAACCAAGCTAAGGCTGAGCATTAATAATTAAGAATAAGCATGCATGTGTGATTTATTTGGGAGCTGGGTGATGGACCCCATAAAAGAGCAAAAACAACCAACAACAGTTCTCACACTCCATTTTACTGTAGGTACTTTGCCACCTTAAGAAGAAAGGACACTTTCCTGTTCTGAGTTCCTTACCCTGCATAGCTCGCCTCAGATAGGTGCTAGAGAGATGACTCAGTGGTTAACAGCACTGGCTGCATTTCTAGAGGCCTGCATTTTAATACCTAGCACCTAAATGGTG